ATAGTTATTAGGGTATTTTTAAAATATATTCAACTGAGAGAATAAACCTTATTAAGCCAAAAGATCCCAATTCATCGATATCTGATAGGATATATGCTGACATTTTCTCCATTCCCATGTGATACAGGCATAGAGATTATCTATCTGTATAAGAATCTCTTACTTGGAACTCGAAATTTAGAAGGAAACAATAGGACAAACGACTCATGAGAAAAGTAGCGAAATAGTATGTTCAAACAAGTATCGAGTACAATCAACATAAAATGCAACAAAACGAATGTAAGAAAAATATGTCAAGACAACAACAAAAAAACACAAAACACGGTACTAACAACTTCTATGACATGAAGAACAACTAGGACTAACACATAGTAACAGGTTAAATAAGTATATACATTAATACAACGAAAAGTTGGAACAATTAAAACAACGATATATCTAACATAAGGTTCTGTGATTACTTATCTACTAGTTTCTCGACCGGTCTCACCCTCTACCTCTACAATCTTCTCTCCACCCATCCATTTTAGCTACAGATCTCAACATATAATCTGCTACCCTATTTCTACATCTTCAAAAACTCCACTTAAAACTGATATTCTCGAAAATGTCTAAAGCTGCCATGTATATTATTAATTGCTTACCCCATGCTCTCCTTGGCTTTCCCCTCCTCCTCAGCTAAACCATCATACTTTATAACCTCCTCACTGTAATCATTATTTGTCTCTTACGTGCACTTTTCTAAACCACCATGATGTTTCTCTTTTCAATTTATCCTTGACAGACACAACTCCCACCTTTATCCAAATGACCTTGTTCGGTATCTGGTCGAACAAGGTCCAATCACATGTCCATTTGAGCATCCTCATTTCTTTAGAAATTTTAACTTACTTTCATCTGCCTTTTCTTTGGCCCAACACTTTGACTCATATTTACAGTCTTAACGAGACTTTTTTGTCGCACAATACTCTTGTGACAATTTGAACTTCATCCACTCTGATTTTGTTTGATATGTTATGTACATCATCTTCACCCATTCTTCTAGATCATGAACCCCATATGCTCGACTCTTTCCTTTTTTTAGGTCATCACTTAATCCTAATATTAAGTTCTACCTCATCATCAATATGCACGTACTTTACAGAAATTGCATCATCCGTATTTGGTTTTGGAATGGCTAAAGTGCAACCTTGTGTTTCCAAATAGAAAAATTTAAAGTACATGGCAGCAAATTATCTTCTTTGTGGTTTAAATCCCTCTCACTCTCTAAAATAATATATATATATATATATATATATATATATATATATATACTTCCAAGTATATATCATCATTAAAAAACTAAGAGGAAATATATAATTACATAAATATTTTTTTAGTGTTACCAGTTGATCATTAATCCAACGACATTTGAAATACCAGTAGAGCCCAACCTCTTAAAAGATCGATGGTTCAAATCTCACCATGATTGAAGAATGTACTTATACACATTATCTATAACCTAAAAATAGGGCTACAGCAAGCAAAGCAAGTTTTCCCTTTTCATTTAAAAAAGTTGCATATGTATTGTTAGTTGTTGTAGCTTATATATATATATATATATATATAGGGGCTTAATCAAATGAGAACTRAATTGTTTGTGGTAACTGTGAGAACCAATTTCAACCACATATTATAATAATCAATGGGTAAGATTAAAAAGAATCTTAATTAATGTAATTCTAAAAATAAATTACTATCATTTAATGACATTATATGAATAAGGGCAAGATAGTCATTTTTGTATTTCAAATAATTTTTGTCACTCGAGAACTTGGTAGCACATAAACTAAACGGTTTTGGTTCATGTGGAGCTTAAACTCGGTCCTTACCCCGTAGGCGGTCCATTGGCAGCTTGCAGGTGTCGTTGCCGTCGAGGTTACTGGTGGTCCTACCGTTGACTTCGTTCCTGGTAGAAAGGTATGTTGATTTCATCAAATAGTTGAGACTTTTTCTGGGGTTCATTCTTATGTCTAATCCATCTGCAAGCAATTTCCTGTCTAACAAAGCCATAATCCTTGGCAAATATCTTAGTCATGGAAATATCATGGGAATTATTTTAATATTTTCTGCCAAAGTTTTCTTCTCTTTTAAATATTCCATGTTTCATTTAGGATTCAAGGATCTCCCCCAAGGAAGGCAGACTCCCAAATGCTAACAAAGGTTTTTATCCTATTTTTGTAAATAACTATTCATCTCATGCAAAGCATTGAGGTTATTTATCAATGGCTTCTTAAGCCTTAGTCTACTGGTGATGTGTCATGCTCTTTAAATTAATATATATATATATATATATATATATATATATATATAGATGTATAATATGATATTTTAATTTTCTAAATTGTCTCAATTTTATCATTTCAAAAACATATTTTCTGGGATAGTAGAGAAAGTTTTATTTTCACAACCTAAAGAGAGCTTGCATAATTGCTCCTGCCCATACACATACACCTACATGCACACAGGTTGTAGCTTCTGCGGGATCCTGCATGATGGATAATGCTTGTGGAAGAGGCACACAACCTTGGAGCTGATATCTCATCCATGATTACGTAGCATACTCTCACATCTCCTTAGAGTCCACAACAACCATTGGTACCTATAATGTTACAAAAAAAGAATAATACTTGGAAGTTCGCACATCTTCATCGCGGAAAACTTGTAGTGAGTTGTAAATTGGTGTTCATAGTCAAACTTAACCCTGGCGATTCATTACACCGGTTGAAAGCCTGCTTAGTTGCAAAGGGTCATTCTCAGGCCTATGGGGTTGACTTTGACTACCATGCAGCTTTCTCTCCAATGACCAAGATGCTATGTGTTCGTATTTGTATAGCCTTAGCTACCATTCATCATTGGCCACTCCATGAATTGGATGTCAAAAACGCACATGTATCATATGTATCACATCGTATCACATTGTATCATAGTACCACCTGGTGATATTGATAAGCCCTCTTCTGCTTGATCAATAGCTGTAAACATGAATTCAAACATATACATGGACCATTTATTAATGTACCACAAGTTTGCACAACAATATACCATCTTTATATACACAGTACCACGAGAAGATACACATATAATTGTAGATATTAAAGATTTCCAGAATCAAAACCAGAAGATAAAACCAATACAGAGTAGACAGTAAGAAGTATTCTGAAAACATGAATTCAAACATATACAAGGACCATTTAATAATGTATCACAAGTTTGCACAACAATATACTGTCTTTATATACAGAGTACCACAACCATGCCTAAATCATTGATACATACAGAGGCATTACAGGTTCTAATACAACAAAATACATCTAAAATTAATAGACATAAAAAAAAAGCAGATATTAAAGAATTCAATAATCACACCAAGAAGATATTAAAGAATTCAATAATCACGCCAAGAATATAAGTAAAGTGAACCAGGTGATGATAAATAATTTAGATAACACACTGTGATACAAATCAGATTGAACACAAATATGTGAGATTTCATGTGATTCATCAGAATCATGAACATGATTACACAAACGAATTATTTTTTTTGAAATTATTTCAATAAATMTTATTAATATTTTATTTTAGGAATGTAAATCAATATTAATTATTTTATTTGAAACGGTTGCATTTTAAAAATTAAAATTTAATTTTAAATTAGGAATTGACTAACATACCCTTTTAATTTGATTTTAATTGTATAATTAATATATTAAAATGATTGGTTGAGATTGGTTCTCACAGTTACCACAAACAACTCAGTTCTCCCTTGAATAGGCCCCTATATATATATATATATATATAATACAATAGTAGCTTATTAATTAAAATTACCAAAACACTATTTTTTTTTCCAAATCCGTCACCGTCAAAAATGGAAAATTCCTAACACATGTTTTTTTTCTAGTAGAATGCATAGTTTTATTTATTCAATGTTTTGGGGCAGTATTAAATATTAATCTACATCTTTCAGTGATATTGTGTCATTTGTCATCTAACAACGTATAAATCCAAATTCATCATCCTCATACACTGAATCTAAAAACTAGTTAGAAATCTATATAGAAACTTAAGAACCCTGAGTTGAAACTCAAAAGCATTATGAAAAAAAAATCTATATAATTAACTACTGTTTTTAGCATTCTTAAGCTCTAGTATATAACAAGTTTATCTAAAATACACGAAACCATACATAATTGGTTTGTTTCCGTTTTGCGTTAAAGGGATGAGAATTTAGATGGTGGACGTGGAAAGAAGAATGGAAAGGACGACGAGAGTGGATGGATCATGGATACAAATGAAGAGGAAAGGGTCGAGTCATGTTACAGTTGCCTATGAATTTAGCGAATGGAGACGTTAGAGCATCTATAACTTTTACACTAAAAAACACTACGCTACAACTTATGATCAATAATGTAGAAATGATATATTCCGAAAGATAAAACATAAACAAGAATCTCTATTTGTAACAGCATAACATAACCCTTTTTTTTCTTTTACTAACTTTGTCCAATCGAACGTCGTCTAACTAAGTTTGTAAGCTACGATTTATCATTTCTAACACGTAAATTAGGTTAAGATGAAATACGTAAACATTGAAATAATAAGTAGAAATTAAACCCAAAAAAAAAGTGTGGATGATAATTGAAGTACCAAGTTGAAGTTGTTCAAAACCAATTACTGAAATACTTTCTTTCTTTCCCCACCACCCCCACGAGTGTGTGCAGAGAAAATTGAGACTTCTGTTAAAAATGCTTTTCCTGTTTTCTACTTCCTGCTCCAAAATTCACACACAAAACCTCTTTCAATTTCAAGATTTCTTTAAGCAGAATATGACGTTTTTGTAGCAGCACCCGCACGCACGTCTCTCTCATACACACACAGACATCAAGGCATCCATCTGCTTTATATACCAAACAACAAACAAATTAAGAGACTATTGGGTCCTCTTCTCTTCTTCCTCAATGGGTATGATTTTTTCAGACTCTTTTCGTTCTCTCTCTCTGAACAATCACAACCCTTCTTCAAACCCTAATGATCATTTCATCCATGCCCATTTCAATTCATCTTCATCTTCTTCTACTTCTTCTCTAGACTTCCCTCTTATGATCACCGCTAGTACTAGCTTTCACAACCAAGACGAGGAGGATGATGAAGAAGAACAGGAAGAGCTTGATCTCAATCTTAGTGGCAGTTGCACCTTTAACAATGGTAAGATGAGACCAGTAGGAGGGCAGTCGACAAAGACATGTGCTAGAGGCCACTGGAGACCAGCTGAAGATGCTAAACTTAAAGAGCTTGTTGCTCTTTATGGTCCCCAGAACTGGAACCTGATTGCTGAAAAACTTGAAGGAAGATCAGGTACTTCATAACCTTTAATGAATATTAAAAAGTTTTCTGTAATTAATTTGTGTTTCTTGTTTGACTACATCTGTCGGTAAACAGGAAAGAGTTGCAGGTTGAGATGGTTCAACCAATTAGACCCAAGAATCAACAGAAAAGCATTCAGTGATGAAGAAGAAGAGAGACTAATGACTGCTCATAGAATGTATGGCAACAAATGGGCATTAATAGCAAGGCTTTTCCCTGGTAGAACTGATAATGCTGTCAAGAATCACTGGCATGTAATCATGGCTAGAAAGTATAGAGAACAATCAAATGCTCATAGGAAAAGAAGGATGCTCATTAGTCAAAATCAAACTGTTTCAAGATCAGAGACTACTTCTGCAACTCCACCACCACCGCCCACCGATGCTCCTCCAGCTTACAATGGATACTTTCCTCAACAGCCACCGTTTGGTTCCGTTTCCGGTCAGTTCTTTCGCACTACGTGTTTACACTTTTTGGGTTTTCTGCTGCACTTTCAAGAGTTTTTCGTAAAGATATTTTCTTGTCAATAGTATTTGACGATATCTCAAAGGACCATTTTGAAAGAAAAAAAAAGTACCTTAAAGTTGCGAGGTGACTACACCAATGTACAGTTTTTAATTCATGATTTACAAGTTATTGTAGCACATATATATGTACATATATATATGGGACCCTTTGTGGGAAATTTGTAACCTTTTTGTGTCCAGGATATAGCTTACTATTTCCGTCTTCAAATTTGGGCATAATTTCAGGTGCTAAGAACAACAATCAGATGATGATGATGATGGACCTCTTCAGCACCAAAAACACATCTTGGATGATGGGCAGAAGCAGCAACACAAATTTTCATGATCATCCACATGATGATGATGATGATGATGATGATAATGAACACGCAGTAGTACCATTGATGATGATGAATCATCATCATCAGTATTACCATCATCAATTTTACACCAGTGGCAGCAGCTCTTTCTCATCAGGTGCAGATAATTCCACCGTTAGTACTACTCATTCAGTATCAGCAGTAACACCAGCACCACAAGTTTTACAAAGCCAGCAGTTTTCTGAGGCTAATATTGACATTTCACCACCACTTATAGATTTTCTTGGAGTTGGGGCCACTTGAAAATCGTATTTAGCAACAGGGTTTAATTTCTCTTTTTGAGTTCATGTCAAATTAATTAAACCTTTAATATCGATTTATTAATTACTAGATCTCATTAATCATCCCTCATAAGGTGCGTTTAATTTTGATTTCATGATGAGTAACGGCCAAACATGATATCCTCAGCAGAATCTTCGCAGGTGTGATTGTTCATGTTATTCACATGGGACTGCACATCATGTAACAAGCTAACAACATTGTCATCATCTAACATATATTTCTCATAACTGAAACAAGTTACATGCATGAGTTTGCCCCCTTTTTTGGTATTTATGATAATTAAACAATTATATATATATATATATATATTAATTACGTGTTTGCAATCGAAAACCATACTTTACGACCAACACTAAAATCATACAAGTCTCGACACAACTAACAACAATACCCGCCAGTTGAACTCGAGCTTAAGCTCGATTTCAACCTCATGTTGACCTTAGCCTTCTATGTGACATCGAAAGCGATTATGGTCTACTTGTCGAGTTTGGCAAGAATACATTATATTAATGCGTTATTCGTATGTGTCGTTCTAAACAAGACCAAGGCTCCTAAATTGAACATTTTTTCACATTCATAATTGAGTCCTTTCAAATCTCTCATATGATATTGATTTGGTCAATGGTCAATATCATAACTAGTCTGCTCTTTAATTTGGCCTTTGGGACGTACTTCTTTCTATACTTGATCATTATCGTCCATCACAAACCATTTATCTCAAAGATCGATCGATCGATCACATGTTACATTGAAATAAATGATGCCATGAGTTTTCTTTTCGAAAAAAGTAAGATTGAATCACATATATACCATGTTATGTTCTCGAATTTGAAAAGAAAAGAAAATAAGAAAATTATTTCACTTGAGTTCTTGGTTCATCATCGACGGTCAAAAATCAAAGTTAATGGAGGCCAAATATATATATTATCTAAATATGAGCATCAATTAGAGCCACTGCCACTGCCACTGCCACTGGTTGGTGGGTGGGTGGGTGGTGGTTCTTGCTTTATTTATATCCAAAGACATCACTAAACAGAGATCGTTTGCGGTTAAATTGCAGGTACATTTCCAAGGTTTAACTAACAAAGATCATTTACCTAATCAATTATGGCTAATTTGGTGAAAACCGAGCTTATGATCCAGCATGCATGATGTATCAGCTTTTGTAGGGTCCGGTTACGTGAAACTATCCATTACAAAAAAATTGATTTTGTAGGACGTTTAAATGTAAAAGGGTTCCAAAAAATACTTTAAAAGATTTAAGTTTATTTGTCCAGACAAAAAAAACGTGTTATTTAAAAGTGTTATAATAAGTTTGTTGGACGTTGTTAGATGTTTTAAAGAGTTTTTTTTTTTAACTCTTTAAGAATAAAGTGTCGTCTTAACTATGTTCTACGACATTATTTGAAAGGATGTCTTATAAACACAAGTTTCGTGTAAAAAGATGGGTTAAAAAATGTCGATAAAATAAAATAATACGACACTTTATTTTAAAAGCGTTTGAAAAAAACTTGTTAAAACGTCTATAAATGTCTTATACACCTATTATAACGCTTCTAGATAGGACGTTTTATAGTTTGGTTGTACGAATCTAAGTTCTATAAAGTATTCAATTAGGAAGCTTAGAAAATTTAGACGTCGTATAAAACTAATTTTATTGTAGTAAGCGTAAAAGGTCAAATAGATGACGGGTATACATTGCTTTGACATGCATGCTCGATCAATATTTTTGATATAATTTACCTAATACTAATTTGATGTATTAAGTATAAGTTATACCAAAAATATTTACGTAGTGAAAACACGATTGACTTAATATGAAAGTCTAAATGAAAAACGTAAAACATACCAAAAAAAACACAAAAGTATTCAAAAACATGTTTAAAACGATGTTTTCGATTGATTATGGATCTGAAGTGGAGTTCCATAAAAAAATTATCTACGTTTAAACGTGACACTCTTTGTTAGTTTGTTAGTCCAGTCATAGGCCTCTAGGAACAATGAAGCTTGGTCATCAACTTCAAGGCCCACATCAAAGAAGACATGTCTAATTACATTGAAATCACTGCAACAATTTTGATTTAATAGGATGCTTAAAATATAAAAAGTCAGAAAAATATATTTTATAAGATTTAAGTTTATAGGAACAAATCAAAATGCGTCGTATCTAAAGATGAAGTGGGTTCATATCCCAAGTCTCTTGGTCCAAGGAAGGGGGGAATTGCGTGCATGAACGACGAGACCTGCCTAACCTGAAGTGGGTCATCCGCCTTTACAATAAGTTTATAGGACTCTTTTTGGTGTTTTAACAACTTTCTTAGGACGTTTTTAACATAAAATGTCATATTAACTATTTTATGACACTATTTGAAAAAGTGTCCATAAACATAAGTGTCCAATAAAAAGATGGGTATATATGACATTTCTCAAAAATGTCCTATAAAATAGTTAACAGAACATTTTATTCTAAAATCATCCTAAAAAACTTGTTAAAACGTGTAATAGTGTCTTATAAATCTATTGTAACAGTTTTAGATAGGACGTTTTACATATAGTTCGGTAATGTAAACCTAAGTTCTATAAAGTATTTTATTAGGATGGTTAGAGAATTTAGGCGTCTTATAAAACCAATTTTATTGTACCCAATACTCGATATTAGATGAGTTTAGTAACAGAAACAGATAACACGATTTAATTATTTTGTCATAAAGTACATATTACTTGTTTCTCAGCTACAAAGAAAACACATACTAATTCATGTTCTTGCTAGAAACAACATGTCTCCATGAGTTTGACAAATTCTTCAAAATCAATGACTCCATCTCCATTCACATCAAACCCTTTGATCATGTTTCTGCATTGCTCCAACTTTGCAACTTCTTCTGGTTGTCCAAACCTGCACAACATCTTCTGCAACTCAAACTCATCAATGAACCCATCTGAGTTCTCATCAAACACATCAAAAGCTACCTTAACTTCCCCTAAACTCGGTTCATCGTCATCAAACAACGACGTAATGTCGATCCTGCTGCTATGATCATGATTGCAACATGACTTCTGAAACCCTAGCTCATTCATCACCATGTTTATCTCTCCTAGGCTGAAAAACAAGCTGTCTTTCTTGATGGTAGTACTCTCTTTTACATGATCATGAAGTGATACGGGTGTAGCCCTTAGCTTGTTCCATGGGATTGAAACATGGGTTAATATCGATCGGATGGGAACTTGAAGAGAATTTAGGAGAAGTTGACAATCGTTCATCTCAAAAAATGCAATTTGGAAGGGTGGTAGGATGGAAGATGTAAAGCTTTTGATCTTCATTTTGGATAAAAGAGAGTTGACAAACCTTTGACCGGTGAAGAAAACAGTCGTTACAATGCGAATTGAATTGGTTTCTAAAGCGAGAGAATTGTAAGGAGAGTTTGAAATCGATGATTGGTTATATATATATATATATATACATAAAGCGATGTTATATGTAAGAATATGCGATTCATCATACATTTATATTGGAGTTTACAACAAGATTTCCAGGAAGATGTTGGGAACAACCAGTTTGTTGGTATTGATGATTTCAAGAAACTGAAAAGAAAGCCAAAGGTATGGTAGGATTAATTACTTAATTGACTTGTTGACTTGGAGTCCAACACCTGAACCACTATGAATTTTCTAGAAAAACTTGACTGCTTTTACACCAAAAATTTTAAATAAATACAAAAAAGTTTTCTTCTTATATCCAACTTGCTGACGTCAGTCGACTAATAATTTCAAAATGACTACTTGTTTTATGGGTAATTAGTTGTCACCTCATTTTTTTTACAAATTAACAAAAGAAAATATTATGTAGTTGGATTAATAAAGTTATATATTTTTCATGATTTGTGACATGCATTTTGATGACTTAATGTTTAGGGACGTTCCAATTTTGTTACATTCAAAACTTTTAATTACATTATATAAATAAGATAACATAAAATATATGTTAAGAACAAAAGTAGGCTAAACTTAAAATGATTAACAATCTGAAAATAAACATAAAACCATTAATGATTTGAACTTAAAACCAAACAATTAATGGTTTGAACTTAAATAATTTCGGCTATAATTTTACACAGGTCGATAAAAGAAGTGGAAAATAAATTGTAGGATGTCACAATATAAATATGATGTATTTGCCAATTAAAAGGTTATTTTTTTTTAAAAAAATAGGATTTTTATTTTATGAATTTATTTGTGATAATTGATTAGAGGTAAAGGACGTGGTCTTGCCTTGAGACTTAAGACATGTTGTACACAACACGTTAATGTGCATTTCATAAAATTACAAGTCCATATGACATTGACTTTATGACTCCACACGTATATCTTCTAAAATAATATATAGAAAAAGTATATGTATCAAGATTATTATTATAACAAAATAATCTGTAATTTCAAACAAACCACATAAACAAAATGTGCAATTTACTCTACAAAACTAAAAGATATATTATTGTTAAGAGTAAATTACAGATATGATTCACACTTTTATCTGTAATGCTTTTAAAATCAAATTAAATACAAATATAAGACTCCTTAATTATATTTTCTTTTATCAAAATTCGTAGATTTTGATGGACATGGATTTTGGTGGAGTCTATAGTTCACAAAGTTCGATGGGATAGTTACACGTTTCTTTGTTTGGATTTGGTTTTCGCCATTAATGGATCGAGGATATTGATTGAGATTTCTTGTTGGATTTGGTTTTCACCATTAATGGAGATTGAATTGGTCTTAACCCTTGATTAATGGGTATTTTGAAAAGTTAATAAATATAAACCCATATTCGATTTCCATGTAATTGCATGCTCTCAATATCAGCTTCTATAAAAATGTAAACCATAAGGACCAAATCCATAATTTATTCTATTATTAATTATACTTTTAATACTCTTTTCATCTCAAAACAAATGTTTACATTATTATTTTAATTTGTTCAAAAATAAGTGTTTAACTTTCAAAAATTTACTTTTCCATTTTATCCTTAGTTATGAGACAGAGAAATTTTTTATCTATATAATTAGGGGTAAAACTGCTTATTCGTTAATTAAAAATTGTAATAATTACATACATCTAAAACAGTGTATATTTTTTATTATGGACGTTTATTTTGGGACGGAGGTGTATATATATATATATATATATACACACGTGAACAGTCCTCCTTCTCTGATCCCAACATCCATGGTGATTACCACTTGAACCTTTCTCTGTTCCCATCTCCGCCGCTTACCCGCCGATCTCCTCCATCTCTCTTGTACCATTTATTCCGAGTCTCGCCCCTACTTCCTGCTGCTTCTTCTTCTCCGACGACTACAACTATGGCAAACAAACCAAAATCATACTCTCCTTTGCTAAATCAAAACCTAGATCGACGGTTCAAAAGCAAAACAATAAAATCAAGATCGATGATTGAAGCAAAACTCAAATAGATTAAAAAGGAAAAATACATTTGAATTCTGTAATATAAAGAGTGCAAAGAGACACTTACAACTGTGGAGAAGATGAGTGTGTGGTTGAGAAAGAGATCAACAATGGCGAAGATGGAAATGTGGGTTTTCTGTGAAGGATCCCTCTTTGTGGTAGGAGTAAAAAAATAAATCTAAATCAGTGTTATCATTTTCAAACCATACGTCATTTAAACCCCTCGTCATCTTTTTGCAAAACTGATTTAGGTTTCTTTTTATTTTAAAACATTTTTAAATGGTTTCAACTAGTTTTTTGGGTTAAAAAAAGAGGCGGGTAACCAATTTTTAGAAGTTTGATGATTTATTTATTTAAAAAATATATATAAAAGTAATTATTTAAAATAAGAAAATTTAATAATTTTTTCTCTATAAATTTTGATAAAATACAAAAAAGAATTCAAATATTTTAGTGATTTAACAGGCCAGGCCCGGCCCATAACATACTAATAAATGGTACTCTCGGACCTCGGTCCATTTCACAAGCACATAATAATTTTGTTTATTTAATTTTTTTTAAATATATAATATTTATATACGATAAATACAACAAATAAACTTATACATTCTTCTCATTTTTTATGAGTGTTGAATTCTTGACTTCTTAAGAGATCAAAGGCTATGATACCGCTAGGCCAAAGACCATTTGGTGTTAATTCAATTTTTTTATACTTAGTTTAATGTTTCATCGAATACAGATAAAAGTAAAATCTCATATTTTCTATATCTTATTACAATAAAAAGATCTGCACAACAATTTCCTTGATGATAATGAATGTTATGTTATGTGGCGCTTCTTCTTAATCTGTTCGAAAGGAATGTTTGTAAAGTGTAGACAGAATAGAATATCACATAATCAAAAAGTTTTTGGTATCGTTAGCCATTATTTGTTACAGGACTAGAGTCTTGCTAGCTTTATTGGCATGTCTACTGTCTCAAGATATTTCTCAATTCTTACTATTTAAACCAGTTTTAACATCTCTATTAGTATGTTGGTGTTTATATCCGTGTCTTGATACATGATGTAGTATGCGGTGAAATGTGTGTCTCTACTGTTAGAAATTTGTAGGTTGGAAGTTAACCTTCCATCCCACATTGGTAGAGACTTAATTCTAGAGAAGCTTATAAGGCTATCTCTAGAAGTGGGCTTTGAACATGTTGGTGGACTCATGATGGGGGTCTTGAACATTATCTACCATGAATGTAAGGAAACTTTCCAACATCTACCTGATGGTATACGTGGTGAGAAGCATGTCTGTATCGTGTTGGATTACAACTTAATCATTAAGCAACAAAAAGTCTTATATATATATATATATATATATATATATATATATGTGTGTGTGTGTGTGTGAGAGTGAGAGTGAGAGAGAGAGTGAGAGAGAGACTTGGAGTTTACTTTTCACATTATAAAGAAAAAAGCAACTTTGAGTTACTTTCTCATGCACTTCCACTCTATTAAAAACAATATTATGGTTTAAGGGAAATTTACATAAATAGTTATTTTATAAAATTGATTTTACTTTTTGATTTTAGGATTTTTTTTAAATAATGAAAGTTTACATTTAAACTTATAATTAGTTATTTAGTTTATTTTTATATTCCTTATTCTGTTAATTTTTAATTTTACACGTTTTTTATATTAACACATATAATTAATACATGAAAAAATATATTTTTTTTTAAATTATAAATTACACCATTATAATCGTCTCGTCAACACGTTCAAAACGAGGTTACTATTGAATATTTTTGGATTTAATCTTATATTATAAAGCTTACGAATTATTTTTTGTATTTACATTTTTGATAGGGAGGGGGGAGACCCCTCCAGATCAAGGCAAAACACTAAACACAAAACAACAAATACGCCCTCGGGTGGGGGCGAACCACATCCACCAGAAAAACCAAGGCACCCCGAAGGAGAAGAAGGAAGAAAGAAACACAGGAGAAGGGAAAGAGGAAGGAGAAGAAGAGAGAGAGAAGAAGAAGAGAGAGGGAAAGGACCAGAAGAGGGAAGAAAAGAAGAAGAAAGAAGAAGAGAGAAAGGAAGAGAGGCAGAAACAGAAGCCGACCACAAGGGAAGGGCCCGGTCAAGCGAAGACCGGGAAACAACGAGGGTTGTATTTACATTTTATGCTCTCATAATTACATACTATGTGTGTTAATTCAATAAAGGTGTAAAGTTAAAAACAAAAATAAAAAATACATTAAATAAACAACATAAGAATAGAAAATATAAGTTTTTTAATTCATACGTATTTATAATATTTAATAATATAAGATCAAGTCCAAAAATATTCAATATTAGGGTTATTTTGAATATACTGACAAAACGATTATAATAGTGTAATTTGTAATAAAAAAAAAAAGCATATTCCTTTATGTAATTTAGTTAATATACGATTATGTTATAATATAATAAAAGTGTTAAATGAAAATTGAGAAAGTAAGGGATATAAAGTAAATTAGACAATTAATTAAGTGTTTGCGATAAACTATCTTTACACTTTACACACTTATAATTAGTTGTTTGATTTACTCTATATCCCTTACTTATTCATTTTACATTTTTATTATATTAACATACATAATCATATATTAATTAAAAAAAATAAAAAATACGTTTTTTTATATAAATTATTATCCTCTCGTCGATACTTTCAAAATGAGTGCACTATTGAATTTGTTGAATTTAATCTTATATTATTAAATATTATACAACTTATGAATTATTTTAGTAATTACATATTTAAATAAATAACCATAAGGACATAAAATGTATGTTAAAAATAATTCGTACATATTTATGATATTTAATCGTATAAGATTAAATCAAAAAGTATTCAAGATTGGGTTCATTTTGAACGTACTGACGAGACGATTATAATAATGTAATTTGTAAAAAATCTTTTATGTATTTTATTAATATATGATTATGTGTGTTAATACAACAAATATGTAAAATGGAAAATGAAAATGTAAGAGATATAAAGTAACTTAAATAACTAATTATATTTTGTAAAATGTAAATTTTTTAATTTATTAGAAACTTTACACAAAAAAGGGATTTTCTGCATAAAGTCTCATTTTCTTGATACGTTCAAAGAAAAATATACTTAATTAAAAATAGTCTAAGAAAAATAAAAATATTATATAATTAAAAGAAGTCTAAGAAAACAAAAAATATTACATAATTAAAATAGTTTAAGAAAACTAGAAATATTACTTAATTAATTAAAAATAGTCTAAAAAAACTAAAAATATTACATAAACTAGCCTAATAATTATATTCGTAATACACTAAAAATATAAAATTAAATATATATTTATTTAATTTTGATAATACAATCCGATTAATTAATATGAAAACATAGATTTAATTGTTAATAAAAACACATTTTTGTCAAATACTTGTAATGTTTTTAAAGTCATAAAAGAAAAAAGAAAATTAAAAAAAAATGTTTCTAGTTATGGAAACGAAACAACAAACAAAAAACACGAGTGATAAAAAGAAGAAAGAACAAAAAAGGATTAAAGATGCATTTAAAGCAATCACATGACGGTTGGGTCCCGAAACAACTCATATAATTCCACCATGTTTTTTATTTGTGGCTATCGACGCTGCTCACACTTGGGTATCTGTCTTCGTCTCAGATTTCATGTCCTTTCTTATTTATTCATCTTTTAATCTGTCTCTTCAATAAAGTAATTATATATCATAAACCAAGTATTGGGTAGTTGTTGATTAACGTTTATTTCTTGAATTGACTATAAAATAGAACTAAGTGATATTTATCCTGCTGATTGAATTGAATTGATCTGATTTATTAATTACTCATTTATCCATTATCTTCAGTTTAAGTAGTTAATTGTAAGAGTACTGTTTTGGATTTTTTTTTTTAATCATTTCAATATTTTTACCTTTTATTTACATAATTATGAAATGTTAATATTATATTGTAAGTATTGTGAGATATAAAGGAGAAAGGCATGTATGTGTTTGTGTAGGATTTTTGTGAAGGATAGTGTGAGAAAAAGAATTACGGTGAAACGTGTAAGAATAGATCTGAACTATTGATATTTTTAAGTATTAATTACACGGCCTTGACTATCAACTACCGATTGGTTGAAATTGWAACCATTTAGGTTGAAAGCCATAGTGCTGATACCTAACGCAGTGAACCAGATACCTACTACAGGCCAAACAGCTTAATATAATGCGCACCCATGAATTGCACTTTAGAAAGTAATTGATCTAGTGCATCTCGGTGTACCTCATTAGTGTTGACATTTAATTAAGATTGATTCAAGAGTTGAGATATCTTCTTATGTTTCTCATCAGAACTCAACCTTATACACACACATATATATGTACACACACACACACATATATATATAGACGAAGGATCGTGTGAGGAAGAGAATTAAGATGAGAAGCATCAGAAAAGATGTAGATTATTGATCATTTTTAATCTCAAACCTACCTATGTATTATGCTTGATACGGGATTGATCCGATGCATCTAAGTGCATCTCATCCTAATATACATCCAAGGATGAAGATTACTTTTTATATTTCTCATCATAACTTTTATTTTGATCGGAATCCAAAAATATTATATATATATATATATATATATATATATATATAAAATATGAAAAAATGAATCAAGATAAAGAAAACTTTATATGGTCCCTTTCTTTTTCCAGCTTTTTGGTTGAAAGGGATTGGGGTTTTGTTTGGTGTTTTCTTGAATTAGGTTCAAGTCTATCCTCAGGCAAAGGGACCCATAGAACCCCTCTTTTTCTTTCTCTATTTTACCCCTCTTTTATTCATAATATTCCATTTTTGTCCCTCCTATCAAGATATTTCCATGCATAGTTGGCAATGGCACATATCATATTAGAATCTTGTATGTTTTCATACAATACAAAAAAACCCTCACTCCATAGGTTGTATGTTTTCTTAGCATCTAAATAAACCGATCATTCGATTATTACTTTTATATCGTATTAGATTCTTATGAAAAAAAATCCAAAATACTGAGAAAAAAAAACTTAATTATACACTAGTTCTGATTTTTATGACATACATACTCATCTTTATCCATCATATATGTTAGAAAGAGCATACCTCCAAAACATAAATAACACGTGAAATATGTACATCATGATAAAATTGTATACATGTAAAAGGAAGTTTAAATCAATTCAAAAACAAACCATATAATTAAATTTCATTATCCGGTTACTGATACATCTTTAATAATTCATTAGATAAAATATGATTCGAACTCAAAAGCTTCATCATCAAAATGTCATCCATTTGAACCTTTCAAAGACAATTTTATTGCTTTCTGGTGCAAGTTGTATAGGCTTTTTATAAAAGTTCAAGACATATAAAGCACTAAAAGCAGAAAAAGAAGTGTGAAAAATTCTTGAATTGGATTCACTTGTTATTCATCATCATCATCACCATGCACTTTGGCACATTCAAGAATCTATCCTTCTCTATCTCATTCCCCTTTGTTAAACTCATTTATTTTGTTTATAGTCATGTATAATAAAACCTGCAGACTTTACAACCCCATAGTCAACACAAGCCAAAGCCAAATCCAACCCTCTATGGTCTCTAAGCTTCTTCAAAACTTAGCGCTTTTCGCTCTTGAATTTCGGCGTTTAAATACCTGCAAAGAAAGTAGCAAAATGTGTTTGATCCGTCTAATAACTATGAAGTCTCGCGGAAGTTAAGTGATCTTGATAAGGCTGCAGGGTTGGATTGCAGATTGACCAAAGAACTATCAGCAACTTCATTCTTGTCATCACCTTTGGACTTGAAGGCCTTGTAGAGATTTCCCCCATTGATTGAATTGCTACCGTTTTCATCCTTTAAAGTTGACCATAAAGAGCTTTTTGCAGCCTCATTTGGATCGTTTATTCGCAGAGTCTTGGGGATCAGAATGCCATTCTCAGAATCGTTATCTCTTGACAAATCTTCATTTCCTGAATTTGAAGGTGGAGATAGCAAATTCCCATCTCTAGAATGCTTTCCCAATGGAGAAGTAGGGGCAATTTGGTCAGGAGGAGGGGTTACCCATGGCATACTCCATGGGCTTGGTTCTACAGTACAACCCCAGTATTGCAGTGTTGGATAATAGGATACTGGAAAGCCTGGAGGACCAAGATTGGTAGGCGGCACCAGAGGTGGCCTAAATTGAGCAGAATTCCATGGATAAGGCCAAGGAGGGGCAGGAAAACATGGTATTTGAAGAGGGTATCCTTGGAAATTCTTAACGCTTCTATTCGGTCCTTTTTCTGCTGAATTTGAAGCAGAACTGGAGCAAAATGCTGATTGATCATCTTCAGATTTCTGGGATTTGTCAGAAAAGTTGAGAGCTGAATTCATGGATTCACATAGAGGAACATCAGATCCAAAGTTAAGAACACTGCCATTAGTTTTCTGGAGAGCTTCAGAAACAATGAGGTGGCGGTAGTAAGAAGCCGAAGATGAGCTTTTGTTCTTTCTTCTCCCAGACCCAACAGGTGTGTTTCTCATGGTTCCTCCGGCGGTCCAATATCTCTGGCAGTTGTTGCAGAAATGGCGGGGTTGGTTAACGTTGTAATTATTGTAGTAACAGAACTTGGTATCCATGCTGTTGCACCTAGGACATGGCAGAATCTTGTCTGGTTTTTTAGGTTTTTCTTCTGAGTTTGAATTCCCAGTAGGATTTTCCTTTTTGGGAGTGCTCTTGGATGAAGTTTCTTTGTCAGCAGTGGGTGTTTTAGGATCATCATTGATTCCTGACGATGTTGATGGATCTATCAACTCCTCTGCACTTGGATGGGAACAAGTGTCTTCTGTTTGAGTTGTGGCATGTTCTTTGTCCAATGTTTCCTGAAATTATCATTAGAATCATCAATGAAAATGAACAATTTTTATTTTCAAGATCTTCATGTAAGATAAAGAAGAAGTAGAGCAGTGAATAAACAAAAAAAGCAAAATAGTTGGTCATAATCATTAATCCACCTTTGTTTATGAGGAACCCACTATTACACCGGATAAATCCCTTGTCAAACGGGCATAATTCGATGCAGCAAGAAGGAGCTTTCTATTTAAGTATTGGTACCGAATAATCTTTTCTTAGTAAGATATTTCTGCATAAAACTAGGGGGTACTGAAAGTGGCAAATTTGATCAAACACCTTACATCTGATCTTTGGAGCATGGTTACCACAATACCACTCAAAGTGAAATACTTCTATATCGTATTTCTGTATTCCTATAAACCAATAAATCGACGTAAATGACCATGATTGAAGGGCTGAAAAAGATCTAACATGACAGGTTGGGAGATAACTACATATTTTGTCATCAAGAAACAGAGGAAACGAAATTCAAACATAAAAAGCTTGAAAGGTTTATGAGGTCTTATGTTCAAACATTCATTGACCAGAAAGAATCATATCAAAACAGAAGTAAGAATCTTAAAACTTAGCAAACATTTCGGCATCTTATTTGAAGAAATCAAATACCATTTATTCCACATCAAATTAATAAACTTGCAAACAGATAGATGATCAAGTGACCAGAAATAAACCCTCCTAGTTTTGACTTCAAATCCCGTAAAACTCTTTGCATGAATCGTGTTTAGATCGATACAATTCAAACCAAATAACCTAAGATAAACCTAGAAAAGACAAGATTTGAATTGATGTTCCACTAGTAATCTACAAGGGACTTCATAATTCATATATCCACTATGATCCTTAAAAACCGAAAATTTTCAAAACAACATTACAAATCATAGTAAAAATCATAACATCAAAAAGTAACATCGACCCAAATCTCATTTTGAAAACCGTGAAATAAAGATTGATCACCAAATTTTCATAAAACTCAATATTCATATTTACACATGCATTTCCTCGAACACCTGCAAGTCTTTTTTTTCGAAACCCAAATTAACATGAAAGCTAACGAAACGTTATAAACAAAATCCAGACCAAAATCAAACACCAACCCAATAAAAGTGAACACAAATCATCCCAACTGAAACAGGAGTCGTATATGCTCTATTATATATACCTTGATGTGTTGGGAACAATCCTTTTGTTGTTGATTAGGTTTATCAAGAAGATGATGAGGATGAGGATGAAGCAACTGAATGGTCTTGCCGAAAAGCTTAATCGCCGGATCTTTCACTTGAGACATTAGTGTTTGTTTGTTTGCTTATCGGCGAAGGGTCTTTGGTTTGTCGTCGATTGTAACGTAAATCTTGAATTTTGCGGCAGTAGTAGTGAGGGTTAAAAAGGTGAGGTGAGGGCATGACACGTCGGCAGGAGTGGAAAATTGTGAGCCACAAGTTCTTTGTGGCTTCTGTGAGATCTTCTTTGGAGGAAAGTGGGGTATCCCTGCTTTCTTTTTCCTCTGGTTTTTTGATCGACGTTCTACATTCCTCATTAATAAATTATATATTCTTTTCGATATAAAATAAATACATTAAATCGGTTCACGTTTTTTATTAAGAAATTGCCCGACAAATTATAACCGTAAAATATCAGTCATGATAATTCAGTGGTCATATTTGTTATTTGTAATTAAACTTAGAACAGATGAGATATTTAACCACTATGTCACAACCCTTGTGGTCAAAATAATCTCTGATCTTTCGATTTACTTTATTGTCACGTTAACATTTTGTAAGTAGCATTTTAGCAACTTATAAAATTGTTATTCTATGAATATTATATTTATAAAAAGCGGATTTATAAAGGGTAATAGAAAGTCAAGCTACGTATTGTTTATCATTTAATTTATTATGATAAACCCGTTATGTTATTCCTCATTTTGATTTGTCTTGTACCTAAAAGAATGTTTCTTCTCCCAAAAAAAAACATTGATTTTAGTAATCATTATCATTGAAACGTTAAAACATGACAAATTTTAGTACTTCTTTTTGTAGTGGTGTTGATTATTTTACTAAGAGAAAGGTTTTGGTTAAGAACCTTCGTTTTTGTTGGCATCTACTTGATATTTAGAATCCGGATGTTGGTTTTCTAATTAATTGTCATGTGGTGCGTGTCTCGTATTTACGAACCAAGCAAAAGCTTTTTTAATGATTGTGTTTCAAATTGACTCCATCGTGGGACACAAACCGACGGAGCAAAACTTATTATGGATCAGGGTCCATTTCAACAACCTCGGGTCATGTTGTATTTATTTTATATGAGTGAAAAAAGGTTGATAAAGAATCCTCTTGTAGTGAGTAAAACACTAAACCGACAATAAGAATCACAGGAAAAAATGCCTCTAGAGACGTTTTGAGGTCATTAATCAACGTAAGATTATATATTATCATTGACAACACTATATCTTATCCTTCCATGTTGTATCAAGGTCATCCACGTTATAACAAGAGTGATTCAACTTTGACCACGTTATGTAGTGGCAGATCTCTAACTTTTGTTGAACAGGTGTATCTTTAAGGTGGATCAGAGGCTCACAAATTCGTCCAATGTGTTTTTATCCGAATTCCACTGTTTTGAGTGATTCTTTAAGTTTTCTATTTTATTTCAAGATACTTTTTTGGTTGATATTTCTTCTACATTATAATATTCCGGAGCACCTCTCAAGTTTCGCAAATGCATCTTTCATACATCAAATAATATTTACTTGAAGAAATCGGTTGAACGTGTGCATGGACCCCAATCAACCCCTCATAGGTCCACCCCTGACCCTTATAGCAAAATGATAAACAATTGATTTGGGCACGTCTCTAAATGACACCAAAACCCTCTTTAAAACTTAAAGAATCTGTTTGGTTTGTGGAAATTTTCTATGAGCGTTGGATTTCGTGGAAGTAAGACCAAGCTCATGAGCTTATTATCTCAGATCAGAACGAGTTGGTAGGATCCCCCTTTATGGAATTGTAAGAATTTGGAATCTTCGGTGTGTTTTGGTCTATAGAATTTGGAATGGAATTGAATTCCATTTTTTTTATAAATCTAGTTTTATTTGTAGGATTCATAAATAGAGTTTAATTTTTTGTAAACATCTGTTTGTTTGATGTGGAAACAACAGAGATATTAGGGTAGACTGATGAAAGATTCAGGGTAGAGATACAACGGAAACGATTGAATTCCATATGATTTGAATTTAAAATGATAATCATATTCAAAAAAAAAAATTCTAAATCTTTCGGTTGTGTGATTTCAAATCCAAACAATCCTTCAAATCAAACCTAAAAGTCCAACTCCAAATCCTACCAAATTCCGCAAATCTAAGTAAAATAAAGATGTTGGCTCATGGAAGACCAGAAAATAAGTAGTACGTCATCATATTGAAGCCGCTGAAATACGAATGAAACAAGTTGAAAACCAAATAAACCTGATATCAGAACAGTTTTATAATTAGCAGTATAATACCGACCCAAACAGAGAAAAGTAAAACTATGAAAATGACTTAAAATACTACATGTATGACATGTGCATTCTCTTTTGTGTATCTTGTGTTACAATTGGAAATGTGGAGTATAAATGTATGGCAAATAGGGCCTTCCTTCAATCAATGAGTGGTGAATTGGGCTTTCATAAAGATCATAATCCAAGCCCAATCTGTCACGTCAGCAGTAAGTCAAACCTAAAAGTGGGGTCCATCAGAAAAAGTAAGTGAAAAGTTCGTTGGTACATAATTTAGACCGTTCGATCAGATTGGCTAACCACAACATGACACGTATCGATTTGAAGAATAATCATCTTGATGGTCTCCTATAGTCAAAGGATATCTTAGATATATGTCATTTTCCTTATATAACCCCCCCCCCCCCCCCCCCCTATCCTCCTTTTTCTTTATTTAGTAATAAAAAAGTTTTTTTAATTAAATTATTATTCATATGTTTATAGGAAATTTTTTTAAATAGTGTTAAAACGTTTTATAAACCTATTGTAACATTTTTATATGCGATATTTTTTGGTTTTGTGACTTTATCCTATAAATTAAAGTATTTGTTTAGGATGGTTAGATATTTTAAACATCTTATTGATTTGTTTGTAATGACTACGACGAGTCAACACAATACTAAATAAAGTTAGTAATCCCAAGCCTATGATTCCTAAGATTGCTTTCTCGCCACTTTCAATCCACAGACCCGATTATTGTTCATAATCAAATCTTAATACCATCATGCATTAGCTCATTTTCTTTAGTCTTTGGGCAAAAATGGTGACGGTTTTTCGTAAAGAATGCTTTCTTAAAAGTCAATATATAAAGTTAAAGATTCTTTCATGACCTAACTCTGTGTTGGTGATCTTATGTTCGATTCATACTTCCTATGATTTCACAAAGTTTGAGGATGGGTTGGACCATATATGCATTTAGATGCCAAAATTTGAGGATCACAACATTAAAGATTATTCACATGTCTGATCCCTTTTTCATTTTTGTTATACAATAAAGCAGAGACATCATGATCGTCGAATATCGACATCTTGGCAGAAAAATATGCCGACATAACAAAGCCTACGTATCTAGTGAAGGATGCAATTACAATCATCAAGAACATGGGATATCGAATAGTAACAACGCTTTAAAGTGGAAACGTTTTTGTAGGTTTATTTCAAGATAGAGTGGAAGATTAAGATCCAAAACGGTCGACACCATTTGGGACAATTCTCAATGCTTTGACCTCAACCTCATAAAATCCTGACAAGTGGAGATGGAATACTTGACGAATATATGAGAATGTCAACATATATAGCGTTGAAGTTTTTCTAGAGACTTAACTCGTCTGTTTCATCTTTTGTTTGATTCTTACTACCTATTTTAGAAAATTCGAAATTTGTGATGCTTTTAGATTCAGAAATTTGAGGATCAAATTTCATTTATGATCTCATAAAAGTTTGCTTGCTAAAAACAAGCATATTGTTCAAAGGGCATCTTGTTGAAAGCAAAAGGTGGATAGGAAGGCAGGGACCTCTTCGTTAGAACCTTCAAACAGATTGCTATTATACTAGTCGAATTAACCTTTAATTATGCGTTGTTTGTGTGGTTAAGTACGATAAGAAGTAGATATGTTGTGTTACAAGTGTTAAACCACAAGAAAAACCGATTAAAAATGATTTAGAATGGAACAAAAATGACCAAGGTTCACACTAGCCAAGTCCCAATATAGTACTTGCACCTAACTTGACGAAGTTGTGTGCTCACTTGGAAGTCATCAAGGATATCATCTATGTCACGCGGCACAAGCTCAAGCTCAGGTAGAGGTACCTAAGTCATCTGATATAGGAGGCGACCTAGAGGTCGCTTAGACCCCTGCCTAGTGACAGATTCAGAAATTTTGGTAATGTGGGTCAGAATTTAAGTAATGGTCACGAGTTCACGTGGTTGGCAATGTCCTCTACTTAAGTGGTTTCGTCATATTTATCTATTTGATTAGGTCGATACTCCATAAAAAATTCTTTCGAATGGATCCAAGGAAGATAATTCAAATTAAAAACAACTAACAAACTCTGACCCTAAATACATGTTGCCTTTTAAAAGTCATGGCTTATTGACTTGAAAAGATAAAGTCAACCAGAATAGGTAATCTTATATACGCCCCTATTTATGTCAGATACCGTTAGAATAATAACACTTTGATAACCAAAGAGTTGGTTTTATAACATATTATACTTCATCATCAGTAGATCCAACATGTATATGTATTCAAACTATGTATATGTATTCAAACTACTCAAAGGGGGCAACACTTGCCAACTTATTCTCTCAAATTAACTACTACTAGCTAGTATCACCATACAACATAGTACTTCAACCTTCTTCATGCTTCTGTTTGTCGGTCGACATAAACATGATCTCAAGTGGTTGAAGTCAAAAACGCCCTTCCTGGTTGACGATTCGCCAATGGTCCATGCCGCCCAAGAAGCTGTATAACACAATCAATCACTTGTTAACATAAGAATACACTTAACCAACAAAGTTCGCTCAAATTTACCAAAAGGCCTTTGTCTTGGCATATCAACGGTACTAGTAAAGCCAACCTCCCAATAGGTCAAAGGTTCAAACATCACTAAAGGAGAAAAAACATGAGTTTTTTTGTCTCTCACACACACACACACACACACATATATATATATATATATATATATATATAGGGTTAGGTTCTGATGAGAATTAAAATTATGATGAGAAGGTCAATAACGGATCTCCATCATGCATTGAATCAATCCTAATTAAAAATCAACATTAATGTACACCAAGACGTCCTAGATCAATCCACATGATAAGTGCAATTCATGGGGTGGGGTGAGATTAAAAGTGATCAAGGGTCTTACGCTTCTAGTTTTAATTCCTATTCTCATATGATTCTTTGTCTATATTATATATAAAGAACGTTTCAAATACAACATATTTCATTTATACAATCAATGCAACCCAATCAATTGTTATATTTATGAAAATGATAATGTTTCATTTATTATAGTTTAGATAATTAGAGGCTATTAACAATGATCAACGTTTTATATTAGCAAATAATCAAAGATATTTATGAAACCACATATTTACTTGATTAAATTGACGGTTGAAATTGGGTTGTAATCATTATAAAATTAGAATAAGTTGTAATATATATATATATATATATATGAGCGATCAAATGAAAACCGCCCTCATTTGTGTAAACCGTGCAAACCACCTTCATCCGTCGATTTTATTGTTTAATCTTATGAAATTTTTTCATGAAATTGTTTAATCTTGGGAAATTGTTTCATATAATACTTTTTTGATGAAATTGTTTCATATATGGTTGTGAAATTGTTTAATATAATACTTTTTTGATGAAATTGTTTCATATATGGTTGTGAAATTGTTTCATATAATACTTAATAAAATTTTAATGAAACTATTTCATTTATTTCTCTAAAATTAAAATAATGAAGATGATAATATTTATGATTAACACCCTAAATGATTAATCAACCTCTCATAATTACAAAAAAATGAACAAAATGAAAAATTATGATTGGTTGAATAAAGTTTGCACGGTTTGTACAAATTGAGTAGTTTGCATTTGATTGTTCCCCTATATATAGGGTTGGGTTCACGTGAGACCAAAAGTTTTTCGTGAGACCTGTAAGACCAATTTATGTTCATTGATCAAATTTATAAACTAATGATCTAATGGTCTAAAGTTGCAAGGTGACAATTTTGTAATTATTGAGAAGTCTCGTGACGTTTATGAATGTTCAGATCTGACGATTATAAATCTAATATTGGTCTTGCGGGTCAAACAACGAAAAATCATTGGTCTCACATGATCCCAAGTCTATATATATATATATATTATATATATATTTCTACCTTGGCGTTCACACCATCTGGCACAATCCGATTCTCTGATTTCCACCTCACATAATCCTGCCTGCTGAACTTGGTGAATCCCCTACATTCATCGATTTTCCCAATCAATTAAGAATTAATATACCTTGTTTTACTATATTAAACTCGAACCAACAAATAAACAAGCAAATTCTTACCATTTCCTGCTGACAATAATCTTTTGACGACCCGGGAACTTGAACTTTGCACGACGCAGAGCCTCCTGCGCGTGGCCGCTGTGGTTATCCCTGCACCGAACCGAAAGAAGCACCTGCCCAATGTGCACACGAGCACACGTTCCCAGCGGCTTCCCAAACGCACCTCTCATGCCCGTCTGGAGCCTATCGGCTCCGGCACACGACAACATCTTATTGATTCGCAAAACATGGAAAGGGTGGACTCGAACCCTCAAGTGAAACGAGTCTTTACCAGCGTGCTTAGCCATGTACTTATTGCAAGCAATTCGAGCAGCTTCGAGGGCTTCACTCGATACATTCTCTTTTTCCCAGCTAACCAAATGAACACAAAACGGTAATTCGTCTGCCCCCTTTTTCTTCATTCCCACATCGTAGATCCTGATCTTTGGATCTGGAACTCCACGACAGAATCGGGATTTTGGGTACGGCTTGTTTTTGATTTGGCGATAACATCTCGCTGGTCCTGGATATAAAGTGATCAACCACAAATCCATCATCAAATTCAAATCATATAGTTGATGATCGATGTCAGATCAAATTCAAATCATATAGTTGATGATCGATATCGGATCAAATTCAAATCGATAAAATGAAAAACAGAAAACAGAAAACAGGTCATCGCTAAAAATCTGCAATGAATTTCGTTTAGCGTACGAAATTAACTTCACCGTATCTAGAGAAATCCACACATTTCCATGGAATCACTTGAGGTGTAGAACGAGTTACATCTCGTTGATTAACGAACGATCAGTACAGTTCAGATAGAAGAAGAGAATTGAAGATCAGGCAAATCAGTTAGATACAAGATGTAATCGATAAGCCAAAAGAAACAAAATTAAGTAAATGATGGATAATTAAGAAGATAACAGGAAGAATTGAAGAACTTACTCCTTCCCATGGCTGGCGATGGAGGTTAATGGATTTAGCAAACCCTAAATATTTATTTTGAAATAGGTGGTGATGGAATTTTCTGGAAACTAGAAGCGGTGTGAAGTTTGGATTGGTGGGAAGAGAATAGTACAACGTTAATTTGTGTTAGAATCGTGTACGTTGCTTACACTCTCACCATCGTGTCAAATCACCCATGCAAATCAAATTTTTATATTTCTTTATTTATATTTTACAAATATTATAATAAACGTGTTTCTAGATATAAAAATATGTTATAATTTCGTAACTCAAGGTCTAAAAAAAACCAATTCATTTTAAATAGTGTTGTATAAAATAATTAATATGACATTTTATTTTAAAAACTTGTTAAGATATTTAAAAACATCTTATAAACATATTGTAATATTTTAGATATGATTTTTTTTCCGTCCTATAAAACATGATATTAGAAAATTTAAATATTTTAGGTTTCCTATAAGCCTAATGTTATTGTAGTGAAATGTTATAACTATTAACATTTTTTTTTAACGGGTTGATGGTTTTACGAGTTGAATTTAATTAGATTGTTAGCGAGTTGAGTTGTGTTTGACAATTTTTTGTACACTTTAGACCGAATGATTAATCAAAACGGAATTCAAATAAATGGTGTTGTTCTGTTTATATTTGAATAGCCTTTTCTATGGTCCTGTTTAATTCACTTCATTCTCACCATCATCATATTTTTTGTTGTTTTCAAGTGAGGTGACGCTTTCGTTGATTTATCATAAAAAGGATTTTTTTTCTTCCAAAAAGTTTATTTTCAAGAGAAAAATAATACTAAAGTGAAACTTTACACAAAAATGGGGAGTTTTATAAAAAAAGGGGAGAAGAGGATATTTTTTGAAATGTATGGAATCGGTCAAATTCTATTGAACTCCACAAATTAATGAATTCATTATTCCTTGACATAATGGAATGGATTGAATTCCATCACTACTCTTCACGACCATGCTATTATTGTTCTTCATGCTCCACCCCTAACCCCCCACCGTCACCACACCACTATTGTCGTCGCCACCCACTCTACCCCCACCACTAACCACCATGTCATTACTGTTGTTATCACACCTACCCAGCTCTCGATCACTCACTACACATCCCTACTATGACCATGGTACCACGGTCACTGTCACGCCCCTAACCTAACCCTTACCACCACACTATTATCGTCATTGTCACAACTACGAGCCACCCCCACCCACACACCCACCCTACCTACCGACCTACATCCACCACTAACCACCATATCATTACTGTCGCCATCATACCCACACTCCTAGCCACCTGACCATCCCACCACTTTCGTCGTGCAACCCTATTGGCCCGCTGCCCACCACGCCCCTAACCTAACCCTAACCCTACCCCCACAACCGCCACTTTTCCGCACCCACCCTAACCCAACTAACCACTAAACACCATACCACTATTGTTTGTCGTTATACCACCCATTTCGAAGCCCCTGCCACCCGACCACTATCATCATCACAGCTACCACCCCTCCACCTACCGCTACCCACTCCATTGTCCCACCCCGCCCCACCTTACCCTACTCCAACCCACTACTAACCAGTATCCTACTACTGTAGTCATAACAGCTACCACCTACTGCCCCACTCTGGCCTCACTCCCACCTTGTCTGTCCCCAACAACCCTTTACCTACGAAGCAGGGGCAGGGGTGGGTCAAGAAGGGTAGGGTAGGGTAGGGTAGGGTGGGGTGAGGGCAAGGCGATGAATGTAACAATGACGGTAATGATATGGTGGTTGGTAAGGATGTGGACAAGGCGATGGATAAGATAGTCCAAACAAAAACGATTGTTTCAATTTTATTAAAAAAATTCATTCTAATTCATACCAACCAAACGTATGATCAAATTACATTCCAATTCTTTTCAAAGTAAAATTTCTTTCATGGATTCCATTTCAATCAAATTCCATTATATGAACTAAACCCTCTTTATCATGTTCATAAATAACTTCAAATTTTTTTCCGGTTGCAGAATTTGAGTGAATTATCAAACATCAAAAGCTTTATGCCCGTCATTTTCTCCAAATATCATCTTAAAATCCTAATTTTGATGTTCTTTTAATGTAATTGAAATTGAATTTTTTATAGTAATGCGCCCATTGTATTTGGTGTCATTTAGTGCCTTTAGAAATGCTCCAAAAGAGCGAGTTAGATGACGTTTGGTTCACGTAACAAAATATGTCAAAATTGGAATTTATCAAATAAATTTGAATGAAATATTAAATCAGGTTTTTGGTTGACAGGGGAATTGAAATGCTATCCTAATAAAAATTAGAACCAAATAGTAGTGGTGATGATGGTTGTTGCGGTAGCAGTGGCGATGACTGGTTATATTGACGACGATGGTGGTGAAAGCAATACATAAGAACAGTAATAAACCCCACAAACACACATAAAAAGAAATCTGAAATCATCAGGCGCAAGAGAAATGATCTCTTCAAATAAATAAAATTGCAGATGGATGAACAAACAGAAACAATTGCTATCTCTTTTTTTACAAACATTTAATCACCTTTCTTCTTCACTTGTTGTTGTTGATCTCTCATTACCAAATGAAAAGCTCACCCACACTTGTCTTCTTCTTCTTCCCTCACTTTTATCTCCATTTTCCTTATCCATATCTTCAACTGGCATCTTATGCCTACAAACAGGGCAAGACCCATGGATTTTCAGCCATTTCTCCACACATCCACCATGAAATCTATGCTTACATGGCATCTCCTTTGCCATCTCACCAACCTTCCACTCTTCGAGGCAAATTACACACTCACCTCCTAAATTCTCTATCTCATCTGTACTTTTTACCTCCAGGCTCGGCATCGCGTCGATCGATGCTTGAGACGCCGGAGGTTGACCTTCCTTCCTCATGAGATCGTTCAACAAGGAGTCGAAACCTATACCACTTCCTCTTATCACCACCATCCCTTGTGTCACCGGATTAATCAGGATGATCCGATCGAGTGACGGATCCAGGTGAGGAGGAAGATCGTGATGCTCGGAATCGTGATCGGAGTCCGATTCCGAGTCGCGCCGAGTGCCGGTGAAACCAGAGAGGTAGGGCATCGACATCAGTCTCTCGATCAAAGAAGATACTGATTCATTTGGTTCTGAAGCCATTTTGATGAGAAAACCCTAGTTGTGATTTAGGAGTTGAAATTGAACGGGGAAAATTTGGAGATATTAAAAAGGAAGGGGGAGAAGGTTGTGGAAGGATCTGGAATGTTGGTGTATACACGTGTAAGGATAGTCTGTGTGCTGCCGTCTTTTAAATGGATAGAACGGCGGAGGGCAGAGAAATCCCCTGTGGCGGCTAGAAATGGAAATTTCATCCAACTTTAGTGGCATGGAGATTTCCGACGCGCAACGGAAAGGTGATTTATAATTAACGGTGTTTAGGATTGTTTATTTGAAATAATTTATATTTTTTTTGTAAAAGTATTTATTAATTTATTATAAGTCAGAAGAGTTTAATTTTTTTTTTTAAAATTTATCATCGATTTGTTATCGGTATAAGTTATTTATCTAAATACTAAAAAATATTTATTATCGATGTTACACTGGAATAAGTCAATAAATTGTTTTTATAAGTAATTCCAAACACCCCCTTAGTAAGGTTGGTATATCGCTTCGGTTGATCGAGTTAAAAACATTTGAATAATTTAATTTAATATCTACAGTTTAAAAAATCTCAATCTAAAAAAAGCTACAATCAAATTCAAACCGTACGAGTTGGTTAGGTTAATACTTTGTTATATCATTTTACAATTTAACTAAGTGTTTATATTTAAACGAAGTAAAATCAAAATGATAACAAACAAAAAAAACTAACAAACTTAAAAAAGAAGGTAAAATGATAACACACGATCCTTTGCCAAAGTATATATGCATACATTTATTATTAAATGACAAATATATGTTGATCTTCAATATCGGTAATTAATATAGTAATAATTTATTATAGTTTTAATTTTAAAATAGATCGTTTTTTACTAAACGGGTACCCAACGTATTCCCCCGTTGAGGATTCCTTCCCCTGGAATACGTCGGGAATAATCTGGGGCGGGGTCAGGGAAGGGAGGCTTAAACGGGGGTCGGGGCATGTATTACTCGGTCCGTTTTTATCCCTAGTAGCGGGTTTTATTCATCTAGAAACCTCTATCTCTTGATTTACTATTAATCAATGATATTGATGCCCCCAATTTGTCCAAATTCTCTCTTTTTATAAATAACACAAAAAAACACTTTTACCATGATTTATAAAATGTGTCCCTCATTCAGCGATGGACATAAATTTTTTTTAGTGGTGACACTATTTTACTATAAGAAACAAAAAAAAAGTCATTGTTGATCTGTTAGTTAGTTTATTGTTTTTCATGTGTTAGGTCCTATGTTCAAATCTGGGTCTTACAAGGCCCTAAGAAAAATTATTCGTCGATCGAGAAGACCTTCCGGGTGAGAGGAAAACTAGACCCGACTAAACGTTTACTGCAAATATTTGAACTCGGATCTTGGTGGAAAAAAAAGTTCTGCAAACCAACTCTACCGAGGAATATTTGTGTCTTTACTATAGTTTCAAAATATATACGGTGGAATACAACAAATTGGTACTGTGACACTTTTCACAACCTTATAACTTTTTCAATAGGACGGAGGAACGAAGCAGTGGCACGAGCCACAATATCCAATACACTGGGTCCATCCCTGCCCCCAATTTTTATTTTTAACTTGCGTTGTAATTAGTAGTGTATTAAAGGTCATGTTATTTAAGCTATGTATGACAAACTAGCTGATAATGTAGTTGCTAGGGTTAAGGCTTTAGGAAATTAAAATAGATTTATATAAATCGTATATTTAATAATGATAGTATTGGATTAGATTCAAAATTTCAGCATTTCAATTGACGATTTTTATATGACAATTCAGAATCCAATAAAAAAACAAATTCAACCCAATTTTTTTATTTATCATAACATCACATTTATAAATTATGACGGTATGAATATCTATTAGTTGGAAAATTGGATCCAATTGGATTCTATATAGTTTCATTTCTAAATTCAAATATGAAGAGTTATACTTCAGAATCATTTCAAGAGTACAAGTCTAAAGTAACATCGTATTTTCGATGATTATTCATATTCGTAAGATAAGTTCCTAACATGATTTAATTTTTTCAAATTACCCCGACGGGATTGAACCTAGTGTATAAAATAAAAGAAAAAGAAAAGGATTCAAACAAATAAAACATCAAAGTGTAGGGACTAAAAGAAGCAAAACAATAACATAAGGGCCAAGATTGAACATTTTCAAAAGTCCAGGGCGGTAAGAACCGACGGTTAGAAGCCTCGCCTTTAACCGCCATTACGAAATTTGAATTTACAGTTTTACACCACCAAATTCAATTTCATGGTTATTATGCCTCCAAATGTTCAATTTCATCCAAATTTTTTACCCAATTCTCCACTTTCAAAATGGAACGATCTGAAGAATCCGGCATCAGAATCTATACACCGTCCCCACAAATCAACCGTGATCCGCCATCACCGCCTTCTCAATCCACACTCTCTCCACCACTCTCCGCTGCAAATGGTGGTGGAAGGAAAAAACTCCAGCAAACACTCACAAAAGGAGTCCAGAAAACACTCTCCAAGACCTCGATGCTCGTAAACTTCCTCCCCACCGGAACTCTCCTAACGTTCGAAATGGTCCTCCCCTCCATTTACGGCAAAGGCCGCTGCTTGGCCGTCGCCACCCTCATGATCAACATCCTACTCGCCATTTGCACATTCTCCTGCTTCTTCTTCCACTTCACAGACAGTTTCCGTGCGCCTGACGGGAAGATTTACTATGGATTCGTGACGCCATCGGGATTGAAAGTGTTTAAGCCGACTTTAACAGTCGAAGTGCCGAAAGACGATCGGTATAAAGTCGGAATCACGGACTTCATACACGCAATGATGTCTTCCATGGTGTTCATGGCAATCGCGTTCTCGGACCATCGGGTTACGTATTGCTTGTTCCCGGAGCATGCGAAGGAAATGGATGAAGTGATGCAGAGTTTCCCGTTGATGGTTGGGATCGTTTGTAGTGGTTTGTTTCTTGTGTTTCCTAACACCCGATACGGGATCGGATGTTTGTCAGCCTAACGATATTCTGGTATGTAAGACCGTAAAACAGTAATGCTGTAACTATTTGTATCTTGTGCAGTAAAAGTGGTACATATTTTCTCGAAAAATAGCATACAGGAAGAGCATTATGGTGCATGCTCTCTATACATCAACCTCTCCAGTTACATATATAATCATACAAAAACATCGATCAATGGTCGTTAAAATATCTGTATCTATCTACGTATCTATATGTATAGCTAAACAAAATACCTAGCTACACTGATACAACACTGGTGTTACCCCTTTTCGGTCAGTTTGTAAGCGAGTTACTGGCTTTAAAGGGGTGTTAATTGCCACAACAGAAGGCTCGGTTACCTTCTTGAAGCTTCTGCCATAGACACAGCATTTCTCGAGGTCCCTGGTAGTGTGCAACGACATAACCGTCTTTGCAACCTTCGTTGTACACTCTTTCTTCTTTCTCGTACCTTACTTCCAAACCGTTCTTTTTTAGATCGTCAATCCAGATTCCCATTGCTACGTCTTCTAGCTTAAACATCTGCTTCACCAAAATATTCATGAATCATTCAAACCTCGTTTAGTTTGGTTGATGATTGTGAGAGTTGATAGATAACGGTAATGTTGAACATTAGAGGCTAAAATAGGCTAATATACTCGCTTAAACTGGTAGATACCAATTCGAGTCCCGTGAGGACCACTTCAACATTGCAGGGACCCATGGGATTAGTTAGGGTGCATTTGATATCCAAACAGGATAGGATAGAACAACGGAACTGACATGCCATAGTAGATAAAATGATCAAATTACCCCTAATGAGTTGTTTATATATTTTATATATTTTGATTGATTTATGTAATTTGTTATCATAAAATAAATATCTTTATGATAAAATATATCATTATGATTACAGTGACACCAAAATAAAAAGTCTATTAGTTTTTTATTATGAATCAATTTGCTTGTGTAGAGGGAGATCCGGTATTTTCTGATTTCATAAATTATATAAATTAATCAAAATATAGAAACCGTAAAAAAAATATTTTGAGGAGAGTAAATGAAAGTTTAAATTGCATAAAATACAATAAATAAAATTTAAAAATGAATAAAATGCAAAGAGGGAAGTGTGTTTGATGTTTTAAAAGAGAATTAAGTTTTATTTTGAGGTTATATTGGTAAAATATAGGTCCGTTCCACCTTGTTTCATAGGATGGGGATGGAACACGACTGTTCCACTTTGTTCCGGTCTGTCCCACAATAAAAGTCCCGCCAAACATGGAACAGTAATCCTTGTTCTATCATGTCCTATCCGGTGTATGCAAGGATTGCCCTGATACCCATGGTTACTAAATGTGGTAACCATGTTGATGTGAAGTGTACATAAATTGGAACTTAAAGAAGGAGATTGAAATGTTAACAATATAAATTCGTTAGAACGTACCTTTAGGCGGCCTTTTTTGTGTTTCTGGTTGATTGCCTTTGCTATGTCGTGTGACACGACATACCCAGGACCGTGAGCCCATGGAGGGTATCTGTCTTGAGGCCATTCCTTGAGTAGATAAGATGGGAATGTTTTAGCGTATGGAGGTATAAATATTCAAAGTACATCAATAAGGCACAAACTAGAAAGAGAGGTACCTCGGGGCTAATATACCACTTGCTGTCAGGGTTTCGATGGGGTTGGGAATCCGAATTAATTAGACCGTAGAGCAATCCACGACTGGCATTCATTCGATTTAAAGAAATCAAAATTTCATCTACACGAACGAAGGCGTCATCATCCGTCTTCATGACATATTTCGCAGAGATAACTTCCGTCTGTAATAGATATCTGGTCAGCTACATATTATCAAATTCTTCATGAGGGAAGAAGGTATAAAAACATTACCCCAAAGATACATATGGCAATGGTCTTCCATGAGATAAGACTGTAGTAGTCAACAAAAGGCATTAACTGTACATCTCCATAAGTCTTTGCCTCATTCCAGAGTTCCTCATTCACCAATCGATTTTTATGCTGCAATATTTGTATTAAATTGTGTCAATTGGTGAAACAGCTGCAAGATTTTATCATCCGTTTTCAAAAGCTAAATAGAAGAAATGGATCAAAAAAGTACTAACTAACCAAACCAACAAAAAAGCGGACGGCTACTTCTCCTGACTTTACTGCAGCATACTGCATCCATGTTCTTCGAACAGCCATCCTACGCTTGAAATTGTTTGCAGTCGAGAAGACACCAATCAATAGATTAATCTTCTTTCGAAGAGGAATCGAGGGCGATTTAAGAGACTCTAAGTCGATTATATGATCTGAATCCTCTGAAGTGGGCAAACCACTGGCTACAACCGACACCAATTTCAGGTCTCCTGAGATCCTTACTTCACTAACAAGCCACGGCTCCAAAGTCTGAGTAGGGATGAAATGAGATACAGCCAATCATCAGATAGATTAAAAAGTACCAAGATTTGGTGATAGAACTAATATAGCAGCTAATGAGAATAAAGTGAGAGAAATTACTTCTCGAAAAGCAAATGATGTAATGTGCTTCCCATCAACTGTCATCTGGACACCCTCTGATCCAACCCTCAGGGTTGCAACTGAAAGATATCCTTGCTTAAAGGGAAAATAGGTTCGTGTTTTTGACCCTCCATCAACCACATGAAGTTCTCTTGATCCATTTGAATGTCTGGTAGCTGCAGGAGCTCTATCAACAACTTTACCCACCTTCTCGTTGCACTGGTCCAGTTCGTCCACTGACATTTCAAAACAACATTGGTCAATTACCATAAAAATGCACTAAATGTACCATAAAAAGAAGACCCACGTAGAAGTGTGATGCCAAATGTTAAACCTAATAATCTACAAGGCAGTATACGAAGATGAGACATCGAACAAGACGGCAGCCAGAAGTTATCATATCTTCTTTCTTTAGTGGTTCAACTTCGTTCAATAAGTTCAGGGTGGCACCAAATTTAACACTGAGAACCATTAAAATTATTATTCAATGCCCCACTAGCATTATATCTCCAACACAGCTTAAAACACAGAAGACTCGTCTCTTGACCACTTGATTGATTTAAAAAAAATACCAAGTAGAATACAGCTATATCATGCTGTATGACTTCCTCTTGCTTTAGGCAAGTAGAAATTGTTTCCTAGCTCCTATACTACCAAAGGTACAAAAAACTATTTGTAATAATACATAATTGAAGTCATACACATCATTCCCACAAAAGAAAAATCAGAAATTTCACAGCAACAGAGAAGTGCAGAAGAATTATTGTGAATTCTCATCAGCACCAGTATGACTAATATATAGACAGAGACTGATTAATCAAACTATGAAGCAAAAATTAGCTCCTCAAGGGTATTAAATTCCAAATAATATTATATACACTTAAAATGCCAACTTAAGAGCATACGTATTATGGTAGTTTATATTAATTCGGCTAATAAAACAAGATTAAACATCAAGTTTTATACAACAGCGAAAATATGAAAGGACAAATTAATTCAATAAATTGATCTATGCTAAGTAGGACTCCAGGATTCGTGTGAATTTATAGCCATTATCACAATAATTAAAGAGTTTGATTAGAACTCCATCATAGCACATATAAGGGTATGTCATAGGAAAACAAGAATGACAAAAGTGGGCATATAAAAATAAACGGCAAAAATTTCCGGTAAAAGTTAACTACTTGCAATGTCTGTAATTATCATAAAGTATTTATGGCATTGATTTAGGTCCAAAAGGTATACATCAAAAAATAGTAATATAATTCAAGTATTTTCTCCCTATATTGTTATTACAAGAGGGTATCTGATACGAACATGGATGTTTAGCATCTTTTTTATTTCTTGTTTAGCTGCTGTTTTTTTATTTCTTTTATTTCCTTGTCATAATTATGCATGAGTCCATTGTGTTGCATGCTTAAAGTCACAGTTCGTAGGAAGTTGTGTTAAGGGATGGTAGGTTGGTAATTGGTTAGGAGAATATTTAGGAATAGTTAAAGCATCATGGTCACGGGTCTTTACATATTGCTTGTACGCTTACTATTTGATATTTATGCAGAAAGTTGTTAGTCTTCCTTCTTCCGCTCTTCTTTGGAGATCACCCATCTCGAAACGGGTTATAACAATATCTAAGGCATAGGCAAATAGAACTTTTGCACATTCTCGTTAATCCATGATTGTTGCAACTTGCAAGTTTCAAGGGACAGAGGAAGTAAAAGTGGTACTTAATGGAAAGAAAGAAATTGCCACAAAATCTTTTACGAGCCTTTATTCTTGTAAATAGAATATAGACATAGATTTGCATATGGATTGTTTGACAATGCAAAAATATTTAACTTAAAGTATAGGAATCAACATATCCCTCTATGGAATGATTTAATCATGTAAAACTACAGTCGGTGCGTAAAGTAACTAACAATTGTACTGTGCAAAGTAACTACAAGCTGGTTTTATTTGTACCTTTCTTATTCTTATCAGGTTCGGGAGCTGGACATCGTTCCTCTTCACCCCAGTCATGAGCAATGGTCCAAGTGTTTTGAACAATTACAGGGTCCTCAGTTATTTTATCGCCATGGAGCCTAACATTGTAGTGCAATATCACAGGAGGATCTGGTTCCCCTGGAAGAGGCTCACCAGTCAAATCCACTCGAAAGTTACCAAGAAGACCACTTGGAATGCCGATAAATGTAACCGATGAACCCTGCGTTAAACCACAAGGAACTCTCAACTTATATCCAGTATCATTAAGCTCTGTGGCATCCATCTTACTAAGAAAATGGGGGCACTGTTTCTCTCTTTTTCTGCTATCTGAACTTCTATTCATGTTACATTTCTCTTCCTCAACTGAAGTCATAAGGTTATTCCATGCAACACCAGCATCCTTGATGGCCTCTACTGTATTAGGCAGAACACGGTCATGGCTTATTAAGTGTTTTAAATGGTTCCAGGTATGCAATGGTTGTTGCTCTTCAACAGATATGTTCCATTGAGTGAAGAGGGTGGAAACTATCTCATCAGCGGATACAACTTGAGAGCCGCTTTCTGGATTTTGAACAGGAGGAGCACCAGAATTTATCCATTCAAGAGGATTTGTTGTATTGTAGTATGAAGATGGTGAAATATAAGCTTCTCTGATTGGATTTTTTGCAACAAAGTACCCCAGGACCATAAATGTTAACAGAGATGCAGATAGAACATAGATATACCATTTCTTCATTTCTATCGATTGATAGAAGGATCAACACTTATGACCCAAAAGTTCATACAACTGTAATTAACGTTTGTATGAACTTCTGTGCAATTAAGTTAACTCCTTGAGGTGAAGAAGAAAGGTTTAAATGTTTGAGATAATTGCTACTTAATCGATGGGAAATGCTCTTCATCAGAAAATGCATTGGTTCGGTATAAGACTTCTGGAGAGAGTGATGCCAGTTGATCTAATACCCAATACTTAAAACTCATGATTCAATACCAGGTGCTTGCAGTACACCATAAGCTCATGCCATTCTAAAGCTTCCTCCTTTATCACAAGACTTGGACTTTATGATGTTGAAAATTGATTTCAAGCCTTAGCCTTCAATAATATATTTGCATATGGAGTTCTGCCCTTGAAAAATCATGTTCTGTCCCTGTAAATGCTAGCAACTAACATTGATCAGTGTCACTTATAAGATTTACTGAAACATATTCAGAACTAACTCAACTAAGTATAACCATACAAGGGCAGAAGCTGAAAAGTTAACATGAGTATCATTGTTTACTAAAGAGTGCATATGACAGATATATAGTTGACAAGAACTGCTGTCACACTAGTTGTCAATAGGTCAACTGCGGAATCTTTAGATCAACCAGATTACCAAATCCCATCACCGGTTATTTTCACTCTTTTTTAGACTAAGCCTCCTAGGCAACCTTCTTCCAAGTCAATTCACTGACTAATGCTCACGCGTTAATCAAATAATTGCTAAACAAGCCAATCTGGGGTTATTTTTTAATTGGCTAAGCCTCGTCGACAATCTTGTTCCAAGTCAATCCACTCGATTGGCTAACCCTCCTAGCTAATCTTGAGCCAACCAATTGTTAATCAAGCCAATCTGGGTAAGAATCAAGTTAGAGATGTACTCTTTTAGGATTTAGAATCACCCCATCTACTGCTAATACACCATTATTTTCCATCATCATTTAAACAAAAAATGTTGTCTATAACATAATCAGCGGACATAATTACTAAACATGTACAATCTCGTTCATCCACAAGCACACATTGTTTACAGATACAGTTGTAAGATATGCAAATTCCTCAAATCAGAAGCGGTTCACATCAATAAACACCGAGATCGGCACAATTCCCGGGCCAAAGAGCTACCACTTTGCTAAAAGTAAAACCTGAACACAAAAAGGGTCGGTAAAGCAAAATGGGAACCCTATGTTAAAATTCACTATCAGATCACAAAGAAAATAATCAAACACTATACCAAATCTAAAGTCATTTGAACCAACGTATTCTCACTAATTATTACACAAGTACCAAAACACTTGGATTTGACTCAAAATGCATCTCAATTTCAAAACTCACTCGATTTACAGAAAGCTCGTGAAGATCAATTCAAGATTCAACAAATAAATAAATAAAAACTACGCCGTCAAACTTGAAGTACTAAATTCTGTCGGTGAACTGAAAATTTACAAAACTGACATGAAATAGAGGCATATGAAAGTGAATTTGATTACAGAGTAAAATAAAGCACCTGCAATTGGTGGAGCAGCGTCCGGCGGCGGCGGAGGATGAGAAAGAGAAATTAGAGGAATTTGTTGAGAATGGCGTAGAAGTTGGTTACTTGTGTTTGAATGAAGTCGCTGTATTAATGTGACATTATGTCGTCGTCGTCGTCGTCGTAGAGTTCTTCGTCTTCTTTGCGCGTGTTCGTCTGTAGCTATGGAGGGTTTTTTCCTCCCTTTTGACTTTGACTGGGTAATAATAATATGAATCTATGAATAATTTCTTCAAATCATTTGTAATTCGTATTTCCTAAATTAAATACGCGTATTAGATTTTTTTAGTCCTTAAAGATTCGAATGTTTTCAATTTTAGTCCTTACAGTATTAGGTTTTTTAAAATGAAGAAGTAAAATGTTAAAATCTTTTAAAAGAAGTTCCATTTAAATTTATCTCCAACAGAATCTCTATTTTGAAAATTACATAATTAATTATATCATTAAAAATATTCAGCACAACTATAAAATATTATCTCTTTCCTAAATATTTAAATTTAGCAATTTTATTGGTAGAATGAATACTAACTCATTTATCTCTTATCCTAGAGATAAAAACTAACAGAGTTAACAATCAAGGATCACATTCAAAACAAAACAAAAACGATTTTTACATTTATTAAAGTTAAGGTCTTACTTTGCAAGTTTCACTAGACCTAGAGGACCAAAATTGAAGTTTACTCTAAATAGAATTACATTTCTTTAAGCAACAGATGTTTGTTAGGAATTTACAGTATGATAAAAACCCCACACCAACTACTACAATTTGGATATCAAAAACCATCATTTTGCCCAACTAATTTTTTTTATAAAAATAAGATAAACAAAAATTAAGAAAATCCTTAGCAGAGACGGAATACAAATGGACTGGATCAACAATAGTGGAGGAACCCAAAAAAAATTTATGCTTAAAATCTTAATAGACTGGAGATACTTCACTCTATCAGGAAAAAAAAGCCCAGGGACCAAGACCCCTGTGACCATCCGCCCCTGATAATAAGAAGTAACATAAACCAATTTATTCTATATATCATTGATGAAATCGAATAAATTGTCGTTGGGATGAAATCAAACATGAATAATTATAGTATTTAACATGATTTGATACAAAATTGTATGAGATTGATTGGTTAATTTTGGTTAAATCCGATGATAATAAAAGGTATTATATAAAATAAAAATAATGGAATATAAAAATGGGGGCAGGCAAGAGCCGGTGGTGTGATAGAATCATAGAAAGCGCCGTGCTAACAATTTTGTGACAACTCTGTTTGATCTACGACCATATTTTTATTTGGGCATGTTAAAATAACAATTTATTTTGATAAATTTTTTTATTATAATATTGTACTTTTAGTTTTTCTTATTTTAACAATATACTTTCAAACTATTTTTTATTAGAGTATTGTACTTTGAAAAATTTACTCATTATATCATTGGGTAACCTTTAGATTTAAATTTACCTTTTATACCAGGTTTTCATGTCACTTCATTGTCCACGTAGATTGTCTACATGTATTATAGTGATATGACTTTCTTACTACAACATTGTACTTTCAAAATTATTTTATTATAGCATCTACTAGTTCTTATTAAACACTGTATTTTTAATTTTTAATATTTAGATATTTTACATGTTATTTAATAAATATATTAAATGAATTAAAAAAATTAAATTATTCATTAATATACCAATTTCAATAACATTAGTAGAACACAATTTATCTCGTTAATATTTTAAAAAAAAATATGTGTTTTTGAAAAAAAAAATAAGAATTGTTCTTTTTTTACCAAAAAATATTATCTTTTAAAGAATATATTATATTTGATCAAAAACTTTTATTTGACGTATAAATATATTAAATTAATTAGATTTTTTTTGAATTATTTATTAATATAACAATATTACAAAATTGTAGATCACAATTTATTTTGTTAACATTTTAAAGAGAACTTTAAAAGATGTGTATTTATTTGAACCACATAAAATAAGAAGTGTTACTTTTTTTACAAACAAAATATATCTCAAAAATAATGTTTCATATTTATTTAATAAATATTTTATTCTATAATATTTAATTTGCATGCAACTTAATAAGAAAAAGTCAAAAAAAAATTAAATATTTTTTAGATCATAGCAATGGAAAATAAAAATCACTAATAATAATTTGAAATATGTTTTTATTTTTATTTTAGTTAAGTCATCAAAATGATGTGTCATCCACATCATCTCATTAAAGTCAAACAAGCAAAAAAAATCAAGGGGTTAACCGGTTTAAAAGGTAACATGTTACCCATTACTAATATGAGTAGATTTTTAAAGTATGAGGTATTAATAAAAAATAATTTAAAAGTACATTGTTGTAATAAGGAAAAACAAAAATAAAATTCTATCATAAAAATTTTATGAAAGTAAGTTGTTTTTCTATGCGTTTAACCCATTCTTATTTTAGATTGAAATTAATTTTAAATTTACTTTTTGAAATTATAAATATTAGAATGATACATGTATAGTGCATTAAGATATATTTCGATTTTAACTTTTCGTTTTATTCTGTTCATGTTGATGTTATGATACATTTATGTGGTTTTGAAAAAATCATAATGTTTTTATTTTTGAATAAAATATAATTTTGAAGATATCATTAAAAAAAATATATCTATATAAGTATCAAATTAACTATTTAAAAGTTTTTATTTTTTTTAGTTTTTTAATTTAATTTTTTATTATAATTTAATTTA